GGGGGGGGGGGGGGGGGGGGGGGGTTTGAGCAGTTTCTACGAATCCAATATCTAGGTATTTAATGTGAGCATTCCTGCACAATACATTGTTTCAGTTGCAACTCTCACTCTATATGTCTTAAAATGAAAGAAATACCACATGCATACCCAACGAGCGGTCCAAGTGCATTTAGTTGGGGCACATGATTCAAAATTCAGACGTTTCATCAAATGCCTGAAATATTTCCACTTTGGAACTTGTGGAAGAGATATGCAAGGATAATTGAAAATTATAGTATTTTCAACATCAGTTTCATTTTCAAGTGTTCTAATGTGATAATGAATCTGTTGAAATTTCTTCCAGCTCAGGATTGTATCATTGTTTTAGGGAGACCGAAAACCTTACAAGTTTTATTACATATGGCATGAGAAAATATATGTATCATGTATGTCGTAAGATAGCCGCCATCACCCCTAACAGATGTGCGTATCCTTTCAACAGGTAATATTGTTGTACAGGTTAATGAGAATATAGTATTTCTATAATCCAGGAGGAAGCACATAATGCACAAATATTAGGTGGGGAAAAATGACAAACTTCTTGTTCTATAGAAATCGGAAATGGCGCTTGCCTGCAAGGATCTTTTACGTCCCTCAAAGCTGAATGGGTAGGTAACTACACCAACAGTCAAATAGCCAGCTTCCTTCGATATTTGAGCAACAACAGGAGCTGCACCAGACCCTGTCCCCCCACCCATCCCTGCAGTTATAAACACCATATCCGATCCCTTGAGAGCATTTGCAATTGCTTCCTTCGATTCCTCAGCAGCCTGTTCCCCCAAAAGTGGGTTCCCACCGGTACCTGCATCTCTAGAACTGTAATTCTTACAATTAATGGTAGAAACATATTCACATTCAATGCATTGAAGCAGCAATACCATCAAATCAATCTTGAAAGATAGTAGTAAAGTACTTAGCATATCATAAGCAAATTTGTTATTTAATTTAATTTCCAATTGCACAATGTTATATATCTCAACTTCAAGATTTCAAAATAATAATGTCAAAAAAAAATAATGAGTTTGCAAACCAAGTCCACGCGTCAGAAGCTCCCCAATCTGAAGAGGGTTCTCTGCAGCAGATTGAAACAGTGCCTGAGCATCTGTATTTATGGCGTAGAAGTCAACACCCTGTCATGAAACATGCAATGATAATTGTTATCAGAAATTTACATTTATGATTTATGCAATATAAAAGAAAAGGTGCTCCAATTTTCATGCGGTGGAAGATGTCTGAAGTACAAACAGAGTCATAGATTCTAAACACTTCAGCGTTCTCGTTATTTTGTCAAATTGCTATGAAGAAGAAAGAGCACAACAATCTTAACAAAACTAGATTAAAGAAGGACTAGGTAACATATATATATATATATATGGACATAGAGCAATTAATATTGGATTTTAGAGGACGCTAAACTTCCAGAATAACACAAAAAATTATAATATATTGTGTCATTCTTAGAATGCAAACACTACAGGAGACAAAATTTAATACTTATTAACACGTCCAAATTTGGATGCTGTAACATTACTTGATAGTGCCATGACAACCTAATCCAGAAGCATCACAACGGTAAATACATATTAAAATGCGGTTGTGCTATCTTTACATAATAGTTTACATACACCTGATGGTGAGATATAATTGAATCAGGGTTTCTTTAACCAAATAAACAAAAAAAACTTCCCCAATCTTTTTGACAGCTTATCTATAGGTAAACTAACTCCTTATGTATAACTAGCATTATTTATTAAAATGTAAAATATTCTAATATCTATAATATAAAACAAAGCTAAACTAAACTGCACCGTTCATATGGGGTAAAATAATACACGAAGAATAGGTGAATACTACACAAAATACCTCAACATTCAACATCAGCATTTAATTAAGCATTATTTAGTAGCTAACAGCAACAAAAACGTCAATTTGAATAAAAATAACCATTATACAAGAGGGGAGAAAATGAAAATAAAATTACCTGTAAGCCACTGCCAATCATGCGATTAATGGCATTGTTCCCACCACCACCAACGCCAACAACCTTAATCTTAGCGGAGTCCATTTGAGTGAAGGAGCTACAGATCCCCAAACGGCGTCGTCCGGATAGACCACTCCGGCGATTCATAGGGAAAGAGATGCAACTACATGAATTTTTCGACCTCAATAGTGAGAAGCCTATGGAAATGGATGTCGTTGAATGGAGAGATGAAGTCAGCTCCGAAGATGGATTTGTGAGGCCAATTGCAGCCATTAATGCCGATGGTTTCAGTGTCACAAAATAATTTTGTGTGGATTGAAAGAGAGAGAGAGAGAGAAGGAAAAAATAAAAAAAAGACTGTTAGGGTTCAGATTAATATATTTTATTTGGGAGGTACTTTACTGTTTTTGCGTACACAGAATTTATTTTCTGGATTTATTTGGGATTTTCCTTTTTTATATTTTTGTCCTTTTTCTTTGTTTGTAATTTTCATGCAATTTTTAAGGATTTGTTTGGCAAATTTATGAATAGTTTATAAATAAAATAATAAATGGTATAATGATTGGTACATGAGTAATAATAAATAGTAATTATAAATATTTGATTCAAATTAATGTTTGAATTTAACGAAATGGAGACCAACATTAAAAAGAACTATAATTGGTCTTTGAGTTCTATGAGAACCAAAAATAAATAAATAAAATAAAATTCTAAAATCTTGTTAAATAAAAAGATAAAGCTGAAGCTACAGCCCTTTATTGTCATTTGTAAGTATATATGGGTGAAGCAACTATTTCTCTTCCATGTATAACTTCACTTGCCTGGGGTGTATTAGGGGTTATGGAGGTTAGTGGGCGGGGGGTGTTCCTTGGGGAGAAAAACTTCAATGGATGGTCCTCCAATCCATGCACTCGTGTATGGCGATTCATTCAAATCACGATACTTCAAATATCAAGTCATTCAAAATGCGAGATCTCGATGTCTAAGGTGGTAAGAAAGAAATAAAGTTGGTGTATGATGTCGAGATATTGTATCATGAATGGCAGGGGATACAAGGTGTAGTGATTTAAATGGATGATCTTATCACGTATTCATATAAAATTGTCTATCGAAGCTTTTCGCATAAATTGAATATGATGAATACTATCCGACTTTGCGAATCGAGGTACATTATCTATATTTCATATATAGATGGGATGAATTTGCATAAGTCCGTTGAGGGCATAAATTCAAAGAGTTTAACTTGAAAATCATGTTTCTAAAGTATACAAGTACTTCTTTTAGAATGTTGAAGCATTATGGTAATTTCTTGAGCAATAGATGTTAGGGATAACAATAAGAATGATGCTACTTTGCCAAAAAGTAGGTGCATAATTATTGACATAATAGATGTCGACAAAATGTGATTGGTTAAAAAAGGTGATTATGTTTTAAACGGTCCAATAATAAGTTGTCATGTGGCATCATGTCAAGGATTATTTCTATACAACATGATTGAATAAGTTACAATAAATCAAATTCGAAGATCAAGCTTGAAGTAGTAGTTGAAGTTCATGTTTATAATGGAAAAGATACGGAAAAAGAACATATGGGTTATCATTCTAAATTCATGCCTCAAAATCTACATATAGAGAATAACACAAGAAAAGGTGTATCAAAATCACAATACACGATCAGACACATCCATATGTTGAGAAGTACACAGTAAATTCTGCCACCAAACTGTTATTATTTGACTACTTCACTAGATCTTACACTTGTGCTTTATCTTTTTTTTACATGTTTATAATAAATATTTCATATATTAAAAATGTGATTTTCCTTGCAAAAATTGAAAATTAATAATAATTAAAAAAAACATTTTCTTGAAAGTCGAAACATTTTTGTACCTCAGCGCTTCTCTGTACGTATAACTTGACAAAGACGGGCTTAAAAGTTCCATCAAACTGACCTACAAAACATATTCTTATTGTATGCATTTGCCAAGCAACTATAGCTCACTTTGTAATTCTGTATCCTCTTTTTCTACTTGTGCAATAGATGTAGAGGTGTCGGAGGCTGCATCCTCTACTAGTGGACCGGAGGTCGTAGTGTCAGAGTCTGCGTCATCAATGATCACATTTGATACTTCAGCTGCAAGCGAGCTGTCTTCTCCTCTCAAGGATGGTGGCGGGGATACCTCAGGAGGAGCAGTTGCATCATTGGCAAAAGAACCATTAAGAGGAAGCCCGGGGGATGAACTGGGAGTGGTGGCAAAATCCAGGGATGGAGTGCCATTAGTTGAAGGTGAAGGTGATCCATGAGAAAAGGCAGTTGCAACAGGAGATGGAATGGCATCAATGGAAGGTTCGGGTGATGCACCACGACTAGAAGCAGCAGGTGATGGGGACAACTGCTCGTCCACAGGTTGCTGAAGACTCCAATACATTATACTTGCAGTAAGAGTAAGGATCATCTTTTGGTTTACCTGCCATAAAATCAGCAAATGTGATGTCAGGATACAATATTATCTCAAAACTCATGATCAGAAGAAACAATTCAAACACGACTACAAAATGAAGAAATAAAAGATTTTCTGATTTAAACTACTGGAAAAATGCAAAACAGCATGTTGTAACAGCTTCTGAAACCTGTGAAATTACATTTAACAGCATCATTTATGCATCAGGTAAAATTACTGTTTTCCACTCAACATACAATGTAAGGGCATATTTTTGAGAGCTTAAATTATAATGCTGTTTTCCACTTAACATATACTGTTTTCCACTCAACATACAATGTAAGGGCATATTTTTGAGAGCTTAAATTATAATGCTGTTTTCCACTTAACATACAATGTAAGTGCATGTTTTCGAGAGTTTAAATTATAATTTAAGCTGGTCAAAACATACATTTTTATCCACACATTTAGCATAACATGCAACTACTAAGCATCTACACATTTCATAGGACACACAACTTATAATCATTTAAAAGCACTCCCAAGCATGCTTTAAGTTAACCAACTTTTTTTATTCCAAAGTGGTTACTAAGGTTTGCTTTTTGGTTTAGTGTGGTTACTCGATCAAATCTGCTAGTTTTGCTAATGGAATATCCGGCATGGAGACTTCTTATGAAGGAAATAAGTCTGATAAATATAGATAAACTTCCCTATAGGTTGAGTGGCTACAATGTTTTCCACCTTTTATGTAAATTGCGTTGTCCATTTGCTGTGGTTTTCAGATACAGGTAGTGGCAAAAACAAGCACTTAATCATTTTTAATTATCCCTACACTCTTGTCGAGCAGACTGCTCACTTTGAAATAAAGAAAGAAATCAAAGAATCGCATCACCCACGAGAAAATGTGACAGGTGACTGAAATTGTATTTCTCACCTCCATGATATCTTCAGGCAACAAGAAGATGGAACAGCCAAGCTTCCTGGCAACACTGATTATATAAGTAGCATTCAGCTTCTTCTCCTCGTCTACCACAAGAATTAAAAAGGACAAGTCAAATTCCCAATACACAGTTTGTGTGAGTTCCAAAACATAGTCGATACTGATGCTAAATCTAAAAGTAAAAATAAAATAAACAAAACGAGGAAATGCCAAAGTGCTTTACTCTCCATGCTGAAGATGTTAATTGAGTGTAAACTAATATTGGGTTATTTCCATTAAGGAATGATAAAAAAAATTGCAGAAAACTGAAAAAATTCTTATTCATTTTCTTGTCAATTAAGAAACTATCCAGTTCAGAGAAAGGAGAAAAAAGTGTGATGAAACTATTTTCCAGGCTGCTCCACAGTGGTAGTCTCATTTTGTGTGTTGGTCGAAGTTACAATAGTCACATTGAACCCTCAAATATGTTTGAAGCTCTCGAAATGATCTTCCAGTTCTGCATAATGTTGGGCCGTAACAAAGTTACTTACCAGACAGTTCTTGTACTACAAACTAGCAAAGGCATTTACACTATTCTAAGTAAGGACCACCCATAATAGTTCTCACATTTCCTGCATATTCATTTCAGATTGAAGTTTTTAGCAATCAATCAGGGTTTTTCATTACGATCTGCTGTGAAGAGTTTGCCTGCCCAACTTCCAAGTTCATTATTTCACAAGAAATTTACAGTTGCAACATACCACTTTCACCCCTGGTAACGAGATTCCAATTAACAACTCGTGGCTCAACTGCACTGAGAAGCTCAAGAAAGAATAATCCACTTGAAAGGTTCTTGTCCTACATAAACGTTCAAAAAACACATCATTGCCAAGCCATTATAAATTGTCACGCAACTGTCATTTCTTTAGACGTCTCAGTAGGTGTTGTGAGATAAGTTTGCTGGTGATAATTTTTCCAGATAAACGTGTTCGATTTCAACCTTAAAACTTTCCATTTGAGATGTTCTGCCTGAATGCTTCACTTTTTTGTTAGCCCAAGTCAGTATATCAGCATCAGAAAACTCCTTTCCTTCAGAACGGGATCTTAAGTTCTTCAAGAGTTGAAGCATATTGAACCTCATTAACTGCCAAAGGAAAGCTGAAAGAAAAAAGAGGTTAACACGCAAAATTTTCTAGTGTTCATATTTGGGTTTAATTTCATCAGAAGCTAAAACCAGTGTAGGTGAAATCCAAAAAAAAAAAAGAAAAAGGAAAACACCAAAATCTGTTTAGGAAGTGAAGAAAAATGAGGTTCGGAAACCAATGGAACAAAAATACTAGCAGTAAGTGAATAAAATAATGCCAGAGGACTCCTAACTATCAATCACATCCTAATGAAGCAAAGAAGCAGAATATGAATACCCAAGCATGTGATGTGGCATAACACATTCAAATGTAAATCTGTTATCTCTCATCCCCTCATGCCAAAATCTCCTTAAATTTGTATACAATCATATGCAGAATGAAACAAAAAAAATTGCCCATCTGAAAACTTTAATCGAGCTTTATAGTTCCCATAAGAAAGTTCTGTGACTGAGGCCATAAATAATTGGCCAGTTTTGTCATTTAATAAAAATGTTGATAAGCTGAATTTGACTGAACTAACCTCACACAGCCAGTAGTATTTCAAATTTCATGTTTATTCAAGAAAAATCAATATGTATTATACAAGTTTACATTTAACAGGGGCCAATAAGAAGTCAATTCCACGAACCAATTACAGAACAGGGAGATAAAGATCCGAGCCATCTAAGTGAATTATTAGAGCGGCTTCTAAATTGGAAGTCCATCTGTCCTATCGCATACACATATTTAAATCTTTTTTCTCTTTCAGTAAGCACAACAATATATTGGATGATACAGGAAACAAATCGGTCGTGCAACATTAAAATCCTGCATCAACCCCATGGCCAAAGTGAATAAATAGTAAAAGAAAAATCAAATCAGGTACTCAGGGTACCATCCATGTCATATCTTGTTCTGAACCTTTTTTGGCTGATTTAGTCAGAAAAATCAATTTCTTTCACTATTACAGTTGTGTGTTTGTTTAGCACCAAATAAATGCTGTAAACTCCTATTTACGTTGCATAATGGTTATTCAAGTAATCAAGAATAGTTGGTGTAACTCAAACTAAAAGAGGCCCAAGCCACAACTTCATTTTCTTAATAGAGCAAGGTGAGCACATTACCAAGTATGAGTTTCTTATTCCCTTGTACAAAATCATTCCCAGCTACGTTGACTAGGGAAAGCTTCAACTGCTTCCCTATTCTAATGACTTGGTTACAATTCTCTACTTTTCTGAATGGCATTCTTATAGGAGGTTTGGTTGCCTGCTTCCAGTTGACAGATCCTGGAGAAACTTTGTTCAGCACTTCCAGAAGGATCCACCTGCAGATGTAACAGGTTTGAAAGCTTCAAGAAACCGGTAATTCTGATGTCCAAAGGAGTGAACTCCAAACAGATAGTAGGTCTGATTCCTCCAACCAACTTCAAAACTAAAGCATCAACATGGACTTTATTTTCAAACATGACAAGATCACGCCGATATGCAATTTTTTAAATTAGTACAAACACGAGCTAATTAAAATGATGTTTTTTATTTTCTATTTTTTCATGCTTTATATTTATATTTTAAAGTAAATTTATTTTTGCTAAGTTCGGCATGTCGAAAATGTCTCTCCCAACATATCGACAATGTGTCGGTAACGCGTCTAACGGTAGAAAACCAAAATATAATTTGGATATGCCACCCGGCATTTCTTGGTGTGCTGTTGGACACTGACACTATGCATCTCCCGAAGTGGGAATTTGTTTCAATGACGTCTTCAATTGTACAAAACCAAAAAATAATTTGTACATGCGACCTACTGTTTTCAACGTGCACAACACCAACTTGTTGATGCCAAGAGGGTGTCGATGCATTCTAGCATTTTGCACCATTTGTGTTAATGTACAACATTTTCATATTGATGAAAAACTCACCCATTTCTAACATCCTCAAACAAGTTATTGACATAAGATGTAATTCCTAGACTGTTGATCCATAAGCGAAAGCATCTCTCTTCTCTAGATATTAGTTCATCATCCGTCATCATCTCTGCAAAAGAGATTTTTTTGTTGTCCGTAGACAAGCCATTCCTGAGAAACAAACAATTTCTTAAAACTTTTTCAGACACATGGTTACAAATATGAGGGCAAGATCAACTTAAAGAAAGGAAAAAGATTTTCTAAATAGTTTTACTACTCAAGGTTCTAATATAAGCTTAGAGTATGTATGGGAAACATTATCAAGTTACTTATGATTTTTGATCAAACTTTAATTTTAACAACATTCACAACTATTGACAACTTATTATCCACACATTTCATGGGACTCATTACTCCTCTCATTATAATCTCCTTATAAGGATTATAACCCAAACAACACACACTTAACTGCAGTAGAGGTTCTTTCACTGTGCCAAGCTATAAATCAGGAGTGCGTTGTTTATGGTTTGTAGGCATGATTACCTGAACATTTACTGAGCATTCCAAAATAAAATTTTAAGAATGAAGTATCATGTTGATGGCTAATGACTTTCATCCCACAATATTCGTAAAATAATAGCAGCAGTAAATTTCAAGCTAAGAAATTCTAAAATCAGACGTGTAATGCAATGTAACAGTAAAATGGTTGAA